CTGAATAATAATCAAAAAAAACATTAAGCATTGAAGTACTTAAAAAGACCAAACTTTAGTTGTGTGGTGTGTGAGGCAAAAAAGAGTGGTCAAATGCTTTTTGTAAATTTTCGAAGTATTTTCATGAAGATAATATTAAGTTTCTTTGTTTATTATATACTGTTATTTTTCTAATATTTTTTGTTTTCTATTACTAGTACAATTACCATTAAAGATTTTACAGGCTCTAATTATCCACAAACTAATTGATCAGAGTTTTTATTATCTACTATGTAATTTGCCTTAATCAAAGCTAAAGAGCCTTACATGCTTGATTATAATCAGTTTAGTTTAGTTTTCAATGAACAAGAGAAATGAATAAGAGAAAAGTTATGATTAATTTTTCTCCTGATCCTCTTTTTTCTTTTGTTATTTTATTTTTGCTTAGTTGTTATAGTCATACAGTTATTATCATTATTATTGTTGTTGGTATTATTATATAATACCAACATGGCTAGTAGGACACCATCTCTGCATTATGTAGAAAGGTTATATTTGAATTTTCAGATTTTCAATTATAAAGGTTTAGAAATTATAGCCCTATAAACACGACAGATCAAAAATTTTATATCTTCACAAAATGATAATTTGCTGGTGTGAAAGACTAAAATTATTGATTTGTTTATTGTTATTTCTATTACATAGTATGGTTGTATAATAAAAATTCAATAATAAATAAATATAGTATGTATATTAATATACTATGTATGTATATAGTATGTATGTTAATATAAGCAATAGATTCCTGATACATGTTACTTTTGCTGGGCCAGACAAAATTAGCGTTTTAACTTCCTTACAACCTCAGGCAGCAATAAGTTCAATAATGTAGGTTTTTTAATTTTTAAAACTGATTTTCTAAGCCCATTGATTTACAAATGGTTAAAACAGACTACTTTTTTCAACCGAGAACCAAATGGCCGTATGTTCACATTTTGTGTTTTTTCTGTTTATCATCAATAAATATCCAACAATCAATGGGGTTTGTGTCCAATAAATCTAGCCTAAAGAATGATACAACTTTTAAAATATTTTTAAAATTAGTCGGACATTAAGGCAGAAAGTTTTTACAAATTAAATTTCAAAACTTGATTTTCTTGGAAACACAAAAAATGGACATATGGCCTCTTGGTTCTTGGCTGACAATGCCTCATTTTTTTATTTTCTAGATTCTTACTATTTTCTGGATAATTATTTCTATAAAAAAAATAGATTTTTATTAACTTGTATCATATTAGAAAAAATTATAATCTCCTTAACTTTGGAAAAAATCTAAAATTGCTAATATATGCTAAAATGAAGTTGACTTTAGTATTTTTTTATTCATCCACAAGTCTAGTTTTTTACAGGTAAGTTTTATGATTAGCAACTATTGTCTGCAATAAATGGGTACAATGTAAGCAGCTTGTTGCAGTTTAAAACCCAAGTATATCTAAAAGTATATTTTCCATTTGCCTAAAAATTCCAACTTTCAGCTATTTCGACATGCTTGTAAATTTTTTATAATACTTTGTTTTGATCTAAGATTAACAAGATATAAAACTATCTAAAAATGCAAACATTTTAATTTTTTTAAATTTACACCAAAAATGCCAGCATTTTTAAAAAGCCCTGTTTTTCAATCAATAACAGTTGAGTACATTATTGGAATCCAGTGTTTTCTAATCTGCCTAACAGCCCATGTGAGAGGTGCAACCAATTATAAGTTATTTCTTAACAAAAAGAAAGATATGGTTAGTTTCCCCCTCTTTAATCTGGTCTTTATTGTGGATAGCTGTTCAAATAAAAGGTATTATTATTTAGAGACCTTCATTTTTGCTTAAATTTGATATTTTAAACATAAAATACACATATATTTTTTAAAAAGTCAAAAACAATTGATATCTTCCAAAATAATGCTGAAGAACTTTCATAATATGTAAGGGGTATTAAAGAATTTTATAATAAAAATAAATAGATTCTGAATTAAGTCAAAACTTGTTACAAACAGCTTTTATTAATAGGTTTGGTTTTTACTTTCTAATTGATAATTAGTTATATATGATCATTTTTTTAATCTTTCTTTTAATAAAGCTTGGTTTCCAATAGTTGTAGAAATGTTGTGCAACAATTGTGCATATTTGTTGTACAACAATTGTTGCCGAAATTTAAATAGTTTAATTCTATCTCCGCAACCTTTGTTTTACAACATAAATTTTGTTGTACAACCGATGTTAAGTTGTACAACTTACGCAAGAAAATGTTTCCATTATAAAGCATTATTGTTGTACAACTGTTGTATGACATTTCTACAACTATTGGAAACCAACCTTAAGATTGAAGTAAAATTGTTTTGTTTAATTGAGCTCATGTATTATGGCAATAATACCACTCACTAAATTCTAATGGATTGAGTAAATTCTAATGAGTAGGAACATTCTCCAATTATTTAGTACTTCATGTGTATTAGTGTTTTGGTTTCAGATACATAGAGAAATCTAAAAATAAATATAAATCAGATGAATATAAAGACATAGTTTTGAAAATTTATTTAGTAAGATCTTGTTTTAATGAACTTTTTCTATACAATTTTCATTTTAAAAAATTTGGATTTTTATAATACAAAGAATAATATTAGCTATTTTAATCATTTTTAATTTAAAGTACATTATGATAAATAAAGAAAAGTTTAATGCTCATAAACTAATACATTAAAAGCCTACATACCTTGAGCTTTTACAACTAAATTTAGCAACTAAAAACATGTCTTTTGGTGTCAAAAATCTTTAATGGTTAATTTTTAATTGGAGAAGTTTTTATTTATTAAAAATAACTTATTTTTAAACTGGCTATCTGCACCATCAGTGTATTAATGGATCTTCTGAGCTCGCAAATTTTCCTCTTTCAGAATTGGTATAATTTTTTTAAACATAACTAAAGACCGCCTCAGTATTGTGAAGCAAAATCCATTTTACTTTCAGGTTTTCTTTGAGCTGATTTTAAAAGTATGTCTTGGGCTTCATATTAACCTCCTACGTTTTCCCTCATAACCTTCTGGGTTTGCTAACATAACAATCTTTTGTGAGCTCATTTAAGTTTTTGTTAACTCTTCTAGAAACTCATCAGGGCTTTTAACTATTCTTTCTAAGAAGCAACTTGCTTACAAGTTATTTTATTAGTTGAATCCCAGTACAAGTTATTTCATTAGTTGAAAACTAGGACATTTAATTCTTTTTCAATTCTTTTAGATAGTTGGATCTAATAGTATGGTAACTAAGTTGGATCTAATGCTATATGACTTTATATGATACTAAGCTTAGATCAAATCAGAAAGATTTACAAGCATCTCAAAATGGCCGTATTAGCAGTGCCATGCTGTGCATGGATAGTGTCCCTGTTAATGCTTTTGGTGTGTATTGTCAAGGCCGAATATCCTTTGATTCACAAAGACATATACATACGCATCAATTCATCCATTTGTCGTGAAATCAGGTTCGAATCCTTTGACCATTCTTTTATGTGCTTCCGCTAAACACTTCTACTCTCTATTACCTTTCTCTTTGTTCTATATCGTTCTTCATAAGACTACACTCTTTTAGATATAATTTCTGATCACATTGACCATGCTCTCTCTCTGATGCTTGCTTGCGTTCAGTTTCTCCTTTTTCTTACCCTATTCAATGGTTGAATTAAGCGATCACGAAATGGAAAATCCGGAAAAATATCTGGTCTTCAAAATTTTAGTTTATGCAAAACCGTGTTTGTTTTCAAGGGGCGAATCAACTAAATTTGTTCTAGTAACTAACTGCATTATAAAATTAATAACACTATGTTAATGCTTTTATAACGCACTTCTAACTTTTATAATTCATTCTTTGTTCAAACAACATAAGTAATTCAAAATTTTAATTGAAGCACTTAGAAAAATAGATTAGATATTTAAGTAATATTTAAAACTTAATATAAAAACATACTGTATAAAAAGTTGAGCATGATGAAAGATATTACTAATGAAGTGTAAAAATGCGCATTTATTTTAAAACCATCCAATAGAAACTTTTTTTTGGTTGATTTTAAAGTTAAATCAGATGAAAGTTAAATCAGATCAGAAATGGAAGTTTTTATAAAGTTATTTAAGTGTATTTGGTTAAAGTTTCTGAAGTTTTTAATAATATTTGAATATCCACTTTATTTTTTTCTGGATGCTTTTTTACTTTGACTAAAGTTTGGAATTACTTAATGTTGTTTTGACAAAAAATAAATTTTTAAAGTTATAAGTGCTTTATAAAAGTGATAACACTATTATAGTTTTATTCAGGCTTTATGAACAAAAATTGCAAGTTTTAAAATTTTTTTTTTAATCACATTTGCCAACCCAAGACTGTACCAATTACAGCAATTAATTTTTAACCAACTCTCATAATTACAAGGTCATTGTATTACTATTACAGGATATTACATTTGAAAAGAAAATTTTTTTGGGTAAATAAACACTTTTTTCTATATATTATTTACCCAAAACTAAAGTTTTTGTTTCAAATTTTAGTTTTAATTCCAGGGGGCACAGTACTTAAAAAGACGTCTTTTGAACGTCCCAAAGACGTCCAAAACGTTGAAAAGGCATCTTTTTTTTTTTTTTTTTTTTTTTTTTTTTTTTTTTTTTTTTTTTAACATCTTCACTTTCAACAAGGCTGCAAGCAACCACTATAAGAGTTGGAAGTTACTGGAAGAGAAAAGACTAAATCTGTAGAGCAAGATAACGATTGACTGATGACTTAAAAGATTGCAAATTATATGAATCAGGAAAGCAAGATGAAGGAAGCGAATTCCAAAGAACTGATGTTCGAGGAAAAAAACTAGAAGAATAAGAGTTTTTGAAGCACTTAGGAACAGTCACAGAAAAAGGATGAGAATTGAATGGCGAGTAACACGAGAATGAATTTTAGTAGATGGCACAAGGGACGCTAGCTCTTTAGAGCAGT